CCCCCCCCCCCAGGTCCAGATTATGAAACATCTGCTGCTTTAGCCAAAGCCACTCCAGCTACACACACCTCTTTATGGTTGCTTACTTCCCTACTGTTCTTTAGGTTTCTCCTTCATCTGTTACTCTTTAGCTTGGTGTCTATGCCCCCTATTGTTCAGCCAGGGTTAATGTGTCATTTCTCAATCATTACTGGCTTTTGTTTTGGGCTCTTTTGTTTTTATTTATTTATTTWTTTTACTTTTTTCCACTTTGTGTCTTTTTCCTTATTCAATCCTGCCCCCCACCCCCAAAAAAGAAAACAATATAATAAAATGTCTTAATTCCATGCATCAACTCTAAGTTGAATTTTTTTCAAGCGGTACTTGTCCATGACAGAGAAACAGTCTCCCCATATTCTCAGTGATTGCTGACAAATACAGTAGAAGTTTAACGTGGCTTGCGTGTGTGTGCKTGTGTGCGCCCGTGTGTGTCCACGGCAGTTGGTGAGGTTGTTATTAGAAATCTAATGAATATTTCATTATTCAAATTGACGAGGAGTCTTATTAAAATATGAAGATGTTGAAATTAATTGTCAATTAGAGGTAGAGTGTCTTAATTTTAGAATATAAACGAGTGCAGCTGAGTGGCAACGTGTGTGCGTGCGTATGTGTGTGTGTGTGTTTCGAGGCGTCTGGATGATGTGTTGATCACAAGGGGATCAGCTGCCATTATCATCTAATGGGAAATCAGGAAGAGGCGTGTTCTGTCACCACTGGAGATGGGCCTCGGGGTCAGGGATTGGAGGAGGAGGGGGCAGAGGCGGAGCCTCGAGAATGGAAACAAAGCTTGGCCTCAATTAACGGTGTTCGACTGTTGCCGTGGTGATGGGGCAGGGTTGCCGCTTTAATGAAGTACCTGTTAAACAGCCCCGCCCCCCGCCGCCCTCTCCAAGTCAACTTAAATAGTACAGAGATGGGTCAAAGTAAAGAGGAGGTGATTCACACATTTTACATGAATCGAGACAACACACACACATCCAGTGGTTTTAATTAGACCTAAACTAGCTGCCCTGCATAGCTCTCCCAAAGAGACTGGGAGAACTGGTTCTGGTGTGTTTGTGTGTGTGTGTGTGTGTGTGTGTGAGACTGTGTATGCAAGGCTCTGCCTAATTGGGCCGAATTGGGCCGTGAAGACTTCGCCACCGCAAAGTGCATGTGTACATTCCCTTCATACAAACACGCTGTCGTGTGGTTTTGTTTTGGTAAGCGCCGGGGTTAATTGCAGCCAGGGTTGTGTGTATAAATACATGTGCAGTGTTCGGAGTGCGCAAATGTGTGCAGTTCTGTGCAAATGGTAGGGCCATATGTGCTCAGGAAGTGCTCAAGGATGTTTTGTTCAAATTTGAGTTGGTATTTGTAACGGTTCATGATTGAAACACCATATATGAGCAGGTTAAATGAATTCAGGTCTTGGACTATCACTGCTGCCTAATAAACTACATTTTCTGTGTTTGATCTCTTTTACATGAATCTTCCTGGTAAACCTGTTCTTAAGGYGACAGATCTTTYAAAGKGGGGTTCTGTGAACRGTTTATGAACAGTAAATATCTYATCTGTTAYAGAAAGCTCTTTGAATGTCCTCTGTTTGGAGAAATAGCTTAATTCTGACCAGATTGATGAGCTAATTGCTAGTCTTAGCAAGCAACACACAGACCACCCCTTAGATCATAATAAAACTTTAACTTTCCAAAACAAGATTGTTAAAAAAAGTTATCTTTGACAAGTAGGATACTTACAGTTCATACACTGTTCAAACCCCGTATTTTAAAAGCTGTTCGGTGGTTCATTTGGGGTGTTTTAAAAATTAGGAATGTCAGCTGTTTAATAATGAAAATACTGTATTCCTCAATATGAAAATGTACTTTTCTCTGTGCGTATTATTCTAGCTCAACCTGGYTTCTAGTGGCTCTCTGCTAAAGAGGGATACCGAGTACCCAGAGGGTCTTCCCCATCCCCCCACCTCAGCTGCCGCCCCAATCACCCCGCTGCGCCAGGGCCCCTCTGTCATCAGCTCTTCCAGCCTGCACACACACTCCCACTCCCACACGCACCCCGTCGGGCCCATACGGAGGCGCAACTCCGACAAGTACTGCACCCCAATTGCCTCAGGTAGACTCCAACATCCCTCTGCCATTTCCTCCCAATCTGAAGTAGACTTTCTTTTTGCATTCATAATATCTAGGCACTAGACACTAGGCATTAAGGAAGGGTCAATGACTGCTGTTCTGTTTTTGTCAGAGCTCGCCCAAAACTGTGAGTTCTACAAGAACGCTGATGTCAGGCCTCCCTTTACCTACGCCTCTCTTATACGCCATGTAAGTTTTGCTAGTTAAGTTTTTCTTTCTTTTTTTTTAAACTGTCTCCACTTGAATTAGCCTTTAAACTGTCCTTTTCCTGTGATCCTCAGGCCATTCTGGAGTCTCCAGACAGACAGTTGACTCTCAATGAGATCTACAACTGGTTTACACGAAAGTTTGCGTATTTCAGGAGAAATACTGCCACATGGAAGGTAAGGGAATGACCACTGAGGTACAGTATTGACTGGAGGAGTTATCACGTGACTATTCATGGTCTGAAAGAGCAGCAATATTGTTAAGGGAGAGGACATTGTGACGCAGTGTTGTTAGCTGAATGTGGTAACCATAGCATGTTAAATTTAGGTCAGCTCAGTTTGCCATTAACAACCATTATTTTGGATTGATAGAAATGCTTTTCAGTATCGTATCAGGTTCAAACATTTCAAAATCTACACATCTGCAATGAATTAGGTTTCTAATGGATAGAAGTTAACCAATGAAAAACTAATATTTTATGCAATTCTGTGCAAATCTACCCATGATAGATTATTTACATTGACAGCCCATCCCTTGCAATATGGTGTTGCGCTTGTACCACAGTGGTCAATCTTCTGAAACGTGCGTGATGCATCTAGTCAATACACCTCACTGAGAGTTACATACAATAAATGGTACTTAATACTCAAAACATTGAATTTCCTTTGATTTTAAAAAGCCATATCTCCTCTGTAAAGCTTTGAAAAACACTGCTCATTGTTGCTATTTCAAATTTGGGTTTCAATACAAGATATTATTTAAAAAAAATAACAAAACTAATACCCAAAGACAGTTAAATGATCAGAAAAACTAAAGAGTCATACATGAAAGTTTGGATTGAGGGATTTTATTTAGTGAGGGCAACATTTTGACACAAACCTAAAACATTGTACTGGTTTAATGCTGATTGCAGGGAGTTATTGTGGTTTTTGTGTGTGATTAATCTTTCAGTAAGCACATTCCTGCTTTTTTATCTCTGTTGAATAAAAAAAACATTTGCAGTCAAGATTTAGTGTTATTACGAACATTTTCCAAAATGACCTCACTTTGCAGAACATGTACTCCCTTTGAAGGCCCTAATTAAGCTTTTTATATTGTTCCTRTTTTTTATGCAAGACACTATTTCTGTCATTTTTTTATACAACATATATTTCACTTTCAGATTTAAATAATTTTTATTCCTTCAGCTCAGTATGTTGAGTATTTGACCCTTTATAACCGACGTAGCTGCTACACAGCCTCCTCACATTTAAAAAAACACACATGCAGAGCTAAAACACACTCCGTCTTTTCTTCTTCCTTGTCTCTTGTTGCACACACTTAGGCTGATCCCATCATTGGAGGTGCTGACCCATTTTTACAGAAACTCCACTCTAATTTAGGTGTGGGAAAGAGAGGAAGTGAGGAACAAACTGTGGGGAAAAATGAACGCTCTGAGGAAGGCAGAATGAAGATGATGGAGGAGGGATAGGTGCCACAAAGGTTAAGAGACAGGGCTGCAGGAATATCTTCGCCCCTCCTCATCTGACTTTTATGAATTTTAACTATTAATGCCCAGTGTCTGTTTCCTCTGCCATTCGTCTGGAGGACCTTTAAATAGAGCTCGCGTGGCCTTATGTATTTATGTAGCAGCTTGGTAAGTCAAATGGGGCCGTAGAGATGTACGTCCTTTAATAAGTTGTTATATTTCATGAGGGGAGCRGTGGTGTCAATGAATGGAAGTCATAGATCGCAGACAGAAAAATGAGAAAAAGATGAGAATGTGGAAAAGAAACATTGAAGAGAGAGGTGAATGTTAAAGGTATGGTTTGGAATTGTGTTCTGTGAGGTTGTTAGGAGTCATCATTATCTTACCTGCAGTGGAAGCTGTTCAGTGTGTTTTCAGTTCGGAGTATCAAGCAGAAGTTTTCTCCAGGGAGATGAGCGAACTGCTAATTAATCTGAAGCTGATACCGAAGAAGATTACTGCCATCTTAATTCTAATTGTTTACATAATTCTCAGTTATTTACCCTTAAGATTTAGTTGTTTATTGGCCAATACCAGTAATGATCAACGTGAAACTTGTGTTGCAAAATAAAAATGTTTAAGGCAGAAAAAGTACCTGATAGCAAAGTGATACGCTGTCAAAAMCAAACATCTTACTATCTGTTCAATCTACTGGTATTTTATTTATTTTTTTCACTTTCATTTGTTTCTATTAAACTGTTAATGACGTAGTCCAAGTTCTTCCAAGTAAGGGTTTCTGTAGTACATAGGGAAAGTTTCTGGGTGTGTGGGTTTGTCCTAACTATGATTGGCATGGTTCTTGGTGTGGGCGGAGTTTGTCTTGACTGTGATTGGCAGAGAGGATTATTGGGTATTGTGCTTAGGTGGACAGAGTTTGGCAAAACTGTGATTGGTCTGATTAACTTGTCTTGCTGGCCATTTAAAAGACATATAAAAATTGTTGTGAACACGTAAACAACCTTCTTTGACTTCAGCTTTAGAGCAGCTAGCACCGTCCTGTCTCAAGTAATGACTGATATTAATATTCATATTCCAAACAAGCTATCTTTTATCACATAGGTTAGGGCTATTTTAACCAAGCCGAATTGTTACACTTTCCTCCACATATACTATGTTAAAATTTTGTGTGTCTAGCGCTTTCCTATCTTTAATTATGACTAAACTTAATATTTATATTTATAAATATAAATGCTATGTGGACGTTTCGACCGAGATGCCCAGGTGCCCAGTGTTCATCCAACATAATTGTTATGGCTTCTTAAAACACAGCCCAAAATAGTCAATCCCATCTTTAACAAACTACACCCACAGAAGTCAAACCTACCAATCTTTGACAAACTCCTCCCAAACACCAAGAAACTCACACTTAGTGACTGCAGAGACCTTTTCAGTTTTTCACRGCACAACTAGCCTGGCCCTTGCCTACGCAGTTCCGCTCAATACGAGTTTGCCTTCACTGCTCCATCTGGGATTTCTCCCATTGACAAGGATTTCATCGGGAGCATTTCATCCAGGCCAATCAGAGAACATAACGTTGATTTTCTGCGCAGTGTCTGCAAGTTAGTTTAGCATACAGCAGTGGAGGAAGTGAATGAAGCCAGTCCGTGTTGATAAGGCTTCCAAATTAAATTTAATTTGCCTGACAAAGCAGCAGCTCTCATTTACAGTCGTCTCATTCGGCTCGGTACTTCTCTCCTCTCAGTAGGGTTGTTTACAGCACACGCGATTTCCAGTTAGCTTCTTAGCTTAGCCTCCTTCACAGTGGAGCTGGCATGCATACATCATGGCCAACCGATCCAATCATTTTAAACTTCAGCAGAGGCCACGCCTCCAGCAAGAATCGTTTCTCAATGCTGAGAGTCCAGACCCTCGTAWGAAGCAAAGTGAAGGACAAGGGGCTGGTTTTTACCAGGCTACAACACAACCAGATCAGTAAAGATTTACTTTCACGAAGGATTTTATTTGTCAGCCTTTAAAATAATTGAACTAAATGGAAAGGCTTCACTTTACAATTAATTGTGCAATAATCTTTTCCCAAACACTGTAAAGACATGAGCATTATTTCAGATCAATCAAGTTACAGTTTTATTATTATCTTTCACTGGAGATTGAGGAAAATGTTTGCTGCATTATTACATTCACGTTGTGACAAAACATTAGAAATCATCTCTGCTCAACAATAACATTTCCCATCAAATCACCTGAATACACACTGACTGAACTCTTACAAAGTAACATTCAAAGTGACATTTTTATAATTGATTTTTCATTTGACATTTCAAGCTCTATCCCACATATTACTTTTCATCTTACTTATTTTTAATATGTGACATGCTCACGTGTTTATTGTCTCTCCCTGAATGTGTTTGCCAAAACACAGAAACTTTGTTTCCTCAGTGTCACGCTCATTTTCAGCTTAAAGGTGATACCTGTTCCACCTGTGACCCTGAAATGAATTAGTTGGTTTTGTTGTTTTGTACCGTTGCGCCGAGCTCAGTTCAATCTTTCCGCTCAAATTTCTGTCTCCTGTTGTTGCCCTCGTCCCCCTTGCCCCCTCACCGCCCACCCCGCCCTCGCTCCCTCAGTCAGAACGTGGGGGTGGTTGGAGATGAGTGGCACATGTGCTGTGACCCACTGTAAATGACTGCTAATGTTTTAACTGCAAGAATTAGGCTTTCATCACGGAGACGAATGCAAATAGCACAGCCGCAACAGCGCCGGTGTCTGCTGTGTGTGTTTGTGTTTGTGTGTGTGTGTGTGTGTGTGTGTGTGTGTGTGTGTGTGTGTGTGTGAGTGTGTGTGTGTGTGTGTCTATTAATAAACGCAGAGAGGTACATGAAACAGGATGTGGTCGCCATGGTGCAAAGTCCTCCCACGCCTTGTTCTGTGTGTGTTTGTGTGTGTGTGTGTGTGTGTGTGTGTGTGTGTGTGTGTGTGTGTGTGTGTGTGTGTGCGTGCGTGCGTGCGCGCGCGCGCGCGCACCGATGATGACTGATTAGAAACAATCCCAGATAAAATAACGCTTCAAGAAAGCGCCTGCTCTGCATCAGCGCAGCTCAGGGAGCGACAGTATGAAGTGATGGGGTGACAAAAAAAGAAGAAAAACAACAAAAGCAAAATAAAAAGGTAAAGTTATGGTCAGCAGGTCACTTTAAACTTTTCTCTCCTTGTTTCGGCAGAACGCCGTGCGCCACAACCTGAGTCTGCACAAGTGCTTCGTTCGTGTCGAGAACGTGAAAGGTGCTGTGTGGACCGTGGACGAAGTCGAATACCAAAAGAGGAGACCACCAAAGATGACCGGGTAAGTTCTGGTGTTTAAGCAGAACCTGACGAGAGCGCGAGCGTATCGATGCTGGCAATGTGATTGGCCTAAATTGATCTGYTATTACCACCAGGAGGCAATGAATGACAAAAAGCTGGCTTGTGATGTGTTGTTTGTCGACATCATTAGTAAGCAGCTGTGTAAGATGCAAGACAGGGAAAGAAACACACACACACACACAAAAAAACCTTGTTAGCGTGTGTAAACAGATGTTCCCTCCCAACCACCAGGGATAATTACACACACACCTGCACGCCAGACAGCACACACTTTCTTCACATGTGTGTGCTTTAAACRGCTGTTTACAGTCTGTGGATGTTTCTGTCTGGGAAATATTTTGATATGTCATGAAGGTTTGATTGAGGGGGGATATTGCTTCACATGTGTGCGCAATCTGTTATCTTACTCTTTCCCCACTTTTGTTTTTTGTCTGCATGTTTTTGTGCAGAAGTCCCACTCTGGTGAAAAACATGATTTCAGGCCTGGGTTTTGGATCCCTAAACGCTACCTACCAGGTAAGTCACACACACGCTGCAAGCAGTCACAATCAAGGACACAGATATCAAATCCCTCTCATAATTAGCCGATTCCCCCAACTACCGTCGCACCGACTACCACCTCCACTCACACGCTCACCTCCCACCTCATTCACACACACTCCAACCCCACAACGTCCACACCAAACACACTTTCTGTGCGGCTGAAATGATTTATAGCGTCAAGTAGTTGTCAATTAAGGTTACTGCATAAAATTATCGTCTGTCCCAGAAAATCCACCTCTGAGCCAGTGAGAATTTCTTTTGTCTTTTCTTTTTATATATTTTTTCCTGTTGTGTGTGTGTGTGTGTGTGTGTGTGTGTGTGTGTGTGTGTGTGTGTGTGTGTGTGTGTGTGTGTG